ATTAGTTTAATCTAACGATAGAAGAAGCATGACTGGATCTATGAAAGATATAATAATTGTTAAAACAATCTCAACAATAAATAATTGAAATTGAAACTCAATAAATAGTTTGATTGAATAATGGAAAAAACATGATTGAATCCATGAAAAATCTTGAAAATATTAAACCGATTTCAATATAAATTCAAGAGAATGAAAATCTAAATTTTAGCATTGTTTGACAATGAAAAGATCAAATCAAATGAATAAAAGACATGAAATCGCCAATTCCAATCGAATTCCTTCGTAGCTTCACCAAGAGTTTTAGTTTTTCATGAGTTTCTTTAGCCAAAGAGGAGAAGAATGGTATATGGGGGTCTCCTCTATCTGTATTCTGCTGTTAAGTATTTGTAATAGTCGAAAATTAGATGAAAATCAGGTCCAAATTGGTTTCCAAAAGAGTTCTAATCGACTAAGGAAAGTTCCTTTCGCGCGCGGATTTTTTTGTCTTTGCACAGTAGTCAGTAATTTGGTTATAACTTTCTCTTCTGATATTCGATTTAGATGATTCAAGATGCGTTGGAAAGGTAACACGAAGAGCTACAACTTTGTTAGAAATACATCTTTTCCAATTCGGACTTTTACTATGCCAAAAATGGGTCTCAATTTTTGGCTAAAAATCTGGAATATATCTTGTGCGAATTGGAAATTGATTTTGATAATATTTAATTCATTTTTGACTTCTAATTGCTTCCAATCGACCCTTAGCACTCTCGAACCTTCATCGTGAGTCCCGACATAATTTTTGAATATTTGCACTTTAATCCTTGAACTTTCACTTTCTTCCATTCTGGTTATTTTTCACTTATTTCTCATTATTTCCGTCACATTCATCACTTGTTCTGCAAAACATGAATTACATAGAATTAAGTTATATTCCAACATATTAATCAACAATTGCTCATGTTTTGACAGTAAAATAAGTATGTAAAACGTATTTATCAGTGCGGCAAGCATTCAGTGACATGGTGCAAAGTTCAGTTGCTATTGAAACATTTAACTCGTGTTTTGAAGGGTTTTAGATAAATCCTTAAAATTTGTATTTTAAAAATAAAAAGGTAATTAGTGCAAGAAGTAATTGTCCCAATAATCATTAACCACTAAATTTAAGCCTTTGTTTGATCTCATTATTTTTAAAATATATTTTTCTCTTTTCTTTTCAACCACACATTTTTCAATAAAATAATATTACATTCAAATTCAAAATTTTTCTTTATTTTTTAACCATATATTTTTCATCAATCTATTATTCCAAAATGTATTTTTGGATAAAAATGAGGCTCAAACAAACACTAAATTTATCAAAATGTTAGGCATTCCTCACTAGAATGACTTATATTTCACAACTCTAAGAGAATAGTTGGCCTAATAGATGAAATGAATAGCTAGCACCCAGATACTTGTAAGTGACCAATCATGGAAGATCAACTTGCCACGTAAAAAATGTGTCTTTGATTGTTCATTCTACTTTTAATACGTCTTTAATTGTTCACTATACTTTAAAAGACGTCTTTAACATTAAAAAGATTGTGTATAAATAAAAATGTGAACTGATAAGTAAAAAAGTTATATATATGTGAAATTTTTGCTTATAAATATTTTTATAAGTAAAAATCACTTAATTAGTTAAAAAAATACTTAAAAGTAAGAATATAGTCATTTTTTTCGTTACTTATACAATGTTTTAATACGGTGTAAAACCAAATGTCGTATCAGATAATATACTTTAATCAATCGTAATACAGTCCCCTATGATCCTTCTTAGTCTCATTCCTAATGAATATGGATATGGTGTATCAGACATGTCCTTGATGTTCGATTTGACGGATTAAAGAAGAAAAATATATCATGGAATTTTTATTGCAACTTTATTAGAGTGACTAGTCGTTCTAAATCTGTATTTGTTTTCCTTAAAAATAAAACTTTTTAATTCTTATACTTATTTCCAACCACATATTTATACAATAAAATATTTTGTAGATAAATTTAAAACTTTTCCTTACATTTAACCGCACATTCTCCAAAAAATATTACTAATTAAAACTCAATTTTTTTTCAAAATAATGGCCATCAAGTAGGGCCTAAGTTTGCATTTGAACTTTAGCGACTAAAATAAAATTTTATGAAAGGTTTAGTGACCACAAGAGTACTTAATTTAAACCGTTTAAAGGTAGCCTGAAACTGAAACGCCCCTCTTTTATCCGCGTTCTGTTATCCTCCCTCGCTTATTTTCCTTCTCTGCTATTCTCTTCTCCGTGGTACAGATACAAATACGATGGTACCTTCCTGTCTCAGCCTTGTCTCCTTGTCCGACAGCTACCTCTGCCGCTGTCTAGCCACCGTCGGCCTGTCTTCTCAAACAATAGACAGGCCCGATGACACCTCCATGCACTTCTGGGGTCCCAACTGCATGAATTCATCCACAACCACTGGCGGACCCTGAGGGGCACGTGCCCCCCAACTTTTGAGAATTTTTTTTTTTTTTTAAAGTCACGTTTGGTATCGATTGAAATCTAAATCAAAATTAACAATTAATTTTAATAACATATTTCATGGAATCTATAATTGTTTAACTTTTATCAAAATTTACTAAAAAATTGATTTTAATATCCACCAAATAGAGACAAAATCACAATAAATTTGAATTTCGATAACATGTTATCGAATAATTCAAACAGATATCGAAAATAGTTAAAAATACGTTAAACGTGGGTCTTAAAGAAGACACATAACTCGCATTTTTTTAAAAAAAAATTCAATTATTTCATTAATATTTATTATTTTTGCGATACAAATTTCTTAATGTAATTTTCATTATTTTATTAGAAAATTTTATATAGAATATAATATTAAAAAATTTCGAAATTTTACATCCGAAAAATTTATATCCTATATAAATTTTCGGATACAAAATTATATGGGGTATGATTTTTTTGAAAGTAACTAAAATTTCTCACAACTTATTTGTAAGTTTGATTGTGCCCCTGGCTCTGCGTCCGCCCCTGTCCACAACCAATTCTAAACCTCCATTGATCCTGATTTAAGGATTTGGTCCCTATGGCATTTGGCAATGGCGTCCACAAATCGTGTTTTTCTCAAGCGAATTCGACCTCTACGTGCCCGATCTATTATTTTTCGGTGAATCTTATGCAAAATCCTCGGATAGATCAGAAGTTTTCCAGGCGGTTTGTGTTACGAAGCTTCTCGAAAAATTACGGATTCAAAAGTACTATGTTATTGGAACGAGTTATGGCGGTTTAGTGGCTTACCACATGGCAGCGAGGCCGAAGAGGGTGGAGAAGGTGGTGATCGCTAGTTCTTGGGTGAACTTCCGGTGGACGGATAACGACGAGTTGCTTAAAAGAGCCAAGTTTGAGAAGATTGAGGAGTTGATGCTGCTCGCGACGGCCGGGTAGCTTCGGACGTTGATGGGCCTTTCTGTTTTCCGGCGTACCTACATGCCTGATTTCTTGTTAAATGACTTCATTGGCTAAGTTTTTTTTTTTGCTTTGCGTCATTGATTATGGCGGATTCTGCATACAAAACAACATTCTCTCACCGATAACATTTCCTTAAAATCCTTCTCAAAAAAAAAATAAAATGTTGCATTGTTCTTGAGTTCTAATTTCATTAAAACGAACCCTAATCGCTGGACATTGTTGCTGATTTTTACCTTTTGTCCCTGTGCATTAAGTGAAAATGGAAGCAGCCAAATATTGTTGGGCTCTGTTTACTCGTACTTGAATTGAGAGTTAGTTGATTATTGGGAGGAAAGTGGAAGTTATTAAACACACTCTAAACTGTGTGAATGGATCCCGAAATTATCTGCTATGTAGCATGCTGCATGTACAACTAGTGTTTAGCATCGATTTGGGTGGCAATGGACTCTACACTTCATTGTCCAATGAAACGCCTTAATCCACACTAGCAATTCAAGTATTAGGTGGAGCATAGCTAAGGGGTTAACTTACAGGCCTACACTGACCTTGGTTTCATCCCGGCTTCTCTCGCCGAGTGACCTTCTTTGCCACTATCGCCTATCGGTGCTTCCCCACCTTCCCTTTTCTCAACTATCCCGAGATCTAAGGATTACATACTTGAGAGGTTGGCGAATCAAAATGTCAATAAAATAGAGATCAAAAATCTTAAATGCTACATTATCCGTAGGTCGGTAAGTCTCTGTTGGAATTTTGTATTGGAAATTGATTGTGACCAATTCAAATGATTAAAGTGGAAATTCCTTGTTTGGTGAATGAGAAATTAAGCCAAACTTAAACCACTTAATACTTGAAATTATTGGAATTGTGTAGAATATTGTGGAATATTCTAGAGAATGTAGATGAAAAGATGTGTCTTTTCATATGGAT